AGGTGCTTTTATACAGCTGTAACACAATTTTATATTGAAATTAGTACACTGAACTTCACCAAGGAGTCTGAACTAAGTTAGTTGAGTCAGAAAATGCAGCTTTAAACTTAGAATTTCTGCATGAGCAATCTCAATGCCTTTCTGAATAGAATACCTGGTATTCCATATTTTGTCCAATTGAACTTTCAGTTCAAGTCCAAATGATTTGATTTCTGAAGTTAAAATTTTGGTTAGCTAGCAGCTGCAAAGCTTTCTGTATATAATTTGGTGAAGTAACCTATGTAGAAAACGAAAGCAAATCCTATTTTTTGAGATGCTTCCCATATGAAATATATAATGATATTTTTGTAAGCGTTGTTTGTACTTTGAAATTTGGGGCTTGAATCACAGTGAATGAAACAATGCCTAAATAAACATAACACACCTATACCCTTTGTTTTTCAGGGAAATATAATATGCTATTTAGAAATCTAATGATTTATTGGCTTCTTAGAAACTGGCCCACTATATCTGGAAGAATGTGCCAACAATAAACATTAAAGTGATCAAAAAAAAATTCATCATTGTATATCCAGATCTATACACTCTAGGGCTATAACCCAAGTCAATTAATTTTTAATTGCAAACAATGGATTGGAACAACAGATTCTATCAGATATATCCTCAATTCAAATGAAGAGTTTTATCCTATTGTGTCACAGCAAAGTTTCAATGGACATAGAGAACTACGAAGGGTGGGGTAGGAGACAACAAATGTCCAAAGGCAGCTTTTTATCCAGAGAAGATTTCTACTGAATTCAGTCCAATATTTCTATAGCAAGAAGTACACTTTGTTTTTAAACTACAAATGAGCTATGGTATACATCATCTTAGCATAGCTTTCAGAGAATACAAGACAAGTCTTGTCATTCAGTTTAATAAGCACTCATGTTAAAAGATAATTGCTGATCAATCTTTTTTTTCCGGTAAATTAAAGATTTTAATCAACAGATCTAGCCAGTTAATTGCCAAGACCATGATATAAGCACATTCCTTTAGAAAATGGGATTTGCATTGCCAAATTTTCTTTTACACCCTTGTAGAAGATGCAGGCTATGTTGGATTGTTGTTGTTTTATTTCCATTGAACATATTTCTTCAGAAGCAAATTGAAATAGATCCACAGCAATTGGGGGAAAAATGAATGAGACCTCAGAACTACAAGCTTATCAATCATTATTTTAAAGGCCAGGAGGCAGGAACTATATCACAGCATCAGATACAGAATCAATAAGAACATAATACAGTACTGGACAGTTATTTTTCCTTAAAAGAAAGGTTGCCACATTTCTTCCTAGCATTTGTCTGCAAAATAAATATCAAGAAAAGAGAAAATGAGTTCAGCTAAAAGTTCTATGTACTAGAAGCTAGATAGTTTTTGGTAATTTTTCCCTCAAACTTCACAGGACTTATTTTCTTTTATAAAAAAAAATAGATATTCCACAGATACCTTCCTTATTGCATAAACATATCTCTAGTTGATATTCCTTTAAAACCACCCCATATGTTTTATTTATGTTTAGGAACATAAATTTGTCTATAAATGCATAAAAATAGCTTTAATGGCAAGTTATGAATGATGCAAAAATACATGCAGTACAGTACCCATTGGTATTTATCAGGGAGTAAATAGCAATTTACTCCAACAGCAATTTTGCAGAAAGGTAGTTCTAAAAAATGGCAGTGGAATTTAAATAATGGAACCCAAATTCCTCGAGTGTATTTAGGCTAACCCAAAACAAAAAGAAATTAGAAATTCTACTGAGTTGGATAAGGAGTTTTGAAACCTTGTTATGAAAGTTCTGCAATGGCAGATGAAATGGCTTTAATTGTGTGTGTGCAACAGTACAATGACACACACTTCTCCTGGTTGTATGCACATATTCTTGATTGTGCAGTGCCTCTGGGATGATGCTTTACATCTGTGGTGCGCTATTTGAACCAGGATCTGTTACTTAGTATAAGAAGAAAAATTCTTACACTGCGTATAAGAAGATAGATTCACCTGTGAATCTATCATCAAGAGATGTTGTATTTCTTTACACTCACATACAACATGTGATTCTACAGACCATTAGGAACCTAGGCTGATTTATTCCCCATAGTGAAAATTGGCTTATCCTGCTTTTCTAAAGCTTACATTTACCTTACATTTTATGAGATTGTCAAATGTTAAGAATTTTCTATGCAATCCAAGGCAAGAGATGGTAGTAGAAAAAAACCTTCAAAACCAGAGCCAAAAAAAAAAATTGAAAAAAAAGAAAAAAATGAACATAGTCACACACACACACCCACAAAAAAAACATCTGAAGAGCTCAGCAGCTATGTACAGCATAGAATGAATATTTGCTCTTACAGTCATTGACCACTGCTGCAGTTGTCATTCAAGTAATTTATAGGTGCATTAATGCTTGATTTTCCTGCAAAAAATCAGGAAAATTGTGGAAAATCACACTGCTATGGTTGCGAAAATCCCAGTGAATTTGCAGTTCAATCTTGATGGTTCCAGTAATTACAAAAAAAAAAAAAAAAAAAGCTTGGATACAAGAGTTTCTTTTCCTGTTCTTCATAAATTCATAATGCACCCTAGAAGAAAAATCTAGCTCTTCTCTGCAAATCAATATTACAAAGAAAAAATTAATAATGGGAAGTAAAGCAAGGAGCCTCACTGATTTTCTCACTTGGCTGATATTTTTTTAAAGACAATTTGAAATGCACAAAGGAGTATTATTTTTAAACTGGTATTTTATAATGCAGTGGTTCAAGAGTGAGGCTATGATATTTGGACTAAACAAACTCTAGACAATCATTATATGGTGGCTACCCAAAAAAAAAAACCCTCTAATTCTTTGCAACCATTTAGTGATTGTCTATGTTTTTACAGCTGAGTGATGGTTGCCCTAGAACAGGGGTGTCAAACTCAATTTTATTGAAAGCCACATCAGGCTGAGGTTGACCTTTGGAGGACCAGGATGTGTGGCTGACTGGGTGGGCATGGCTGTGATGAGTGTGGTCAGTTTGACACATCGGGGGTGCCTATGGTGGCCCAGGAAGGGCTGGGGGGGATCCATTGTCTCCAGTGAATGAAGTTGAGATCAGGGCCAAACCCTTGTCCGCCAGAAGAGCCTCGCTGTCCCTCTCAGGCCATGTGGAGGCCCCTCATATGACGGTGCGGGTTGCCCGGAGTCCTGGGAAGCAGTGGCAAGTGCCAAGCCCAGCCCTCGACTCCCAGAGCACTAGGACCTCACAGCCCAGCCCTGCTTCCCTGAAGGGGCACCCAGCTGTGCTTACCTCCTCTGCTGTGCTCACTCTCCTTGGCCAGGTTGCTCATGGTGGGTGTGGAAGGGCAAAGAATGTTGGTAGGAGGGAGGCCCACTCCCTCTCCTTGCAAGAAACATGGCTTTGTAACCAAAGCATCCTCAGTGATAGGATGGAGACCACCAGGAGAGGAGGGGGCAATGGGATGGTGAAAGGGCAGCAGGGCTGCTGGTGGTCAAGTACTAAGGTAGGACTCCCCTCAGACCCGCTGTCCCACTCATAATCTCCTTTCTTCCTTTCCTTTTCTTTCTTTCCTTCCTCTTTCCTTCCCTCCCTTCTTCCTGCCTCCCTCCTCCTCATTCCCATTCTTTCCTTCCTTCCTCCCTCCCTCCTCCTTCCTTCTCTGCCTCCCTCGTCATTCCCATCTTCCTTCCTTCCTTCCTTCCTTCCTTCCTTCCTCTTTCCCTCCCTCCACCTTCCTTCCCTGCTTCTCTCCTTCTCCTTCCCAACTCCTTCCTTCCTCTGCACTCAGGAAGGGATGAGGGGAGGGAGAGAGATTGGCAGTGCTGCCGGAGGCCATGCTGCTGGATGCTGTGGCTTTCCCATGCAGGGGCGGGGCAGTCCTAGTAAAAGGGAAACACTCGTGTGCTGCGAAGCTGGGCTAGCAAGTGAGCCATGGAAGTGCTGGTGGTGGGTACAGTGCTGATCTACAACTTGGTGATGGTCAACTGGGATGCTCAGCCCTGCCCCCCTGGATATGTGCATAGGAGGAGGCAAGCACACGGAGGCAGGCTGAGTGAAAAGGAAGCAGTCAGAATTCAGTCAGGCTGCAGGGCAAGATGATCACCAGGGATGCCAGGTTTCACATGCTCACCATCTCCTATGCACGCACCTATGGCATGGTGGGGAGATGGCTCCTCACTGGCTCCAGGGCACCATGCAGATCTAAGGCTGACCGCGTACTAGCCGGGATGGCCATCACCATGTTGTAGATCAGCGCCTGGCCGGCCTGGGCCGGTTCAAGGCACCATGGGCCAGTCCTTCGCTGTTTACAGGGCAGCCCCGTGGGCCAGGCCCAACCACATCATGGGCCTAGTCCACGGGTCTTGTGTTTAACAATCCTGCCTAGAATTTCACCCATTATAGTTTTTAAATACAAGATAAATACATCCTAAGAGCAAAGACAAAGGGAATAATTGTTCAGGATTCAGAGCAATGCAAACACAGCTAGAAGTTATATAAATGAAGCAGTCACTCCATCACCTCATTTATGTGACTCTAATATTATGTCAGAATCGGCTACATTGGTGTAATTATATGTATTTCTCTTCTTCATCACCTCTTCCTTTCAGACATCACAGAATATGCAGCCAGCACCAACCCTCAATTTCAGTACAAGATTATGAAAACAATAGTAGTAAAGAAGCTATGTTTATACTTTTCCCCCATATGAATGTTTCCTACTGGACAAAAATATGCAGGTACTAATGTCATTCTTAAGCCATACCATTCAAGGACCAGGATTACTTTCTTTCTAATAAGCACTGACAAGTATTTTAAATGTATGAATTTTGGTTAGATTTTTTTTGAAAATGAGAACACAAACACACACACAAAACACAGGACAGGCATTGAACCCGGGGCAGCATGACGGTATAATTTGCAGGGGGTGCCACAGAAACAAGTTCAGCCACAAAACAGGTTGACCGTGCCTTCCCACAAGATAAAACTTTATTGTGTAGTTTCAGGAGAACAGGACTGCTAGGATTCACAGCTTACAATGCTGAGCACATCCTATTTCACACAACATTGCTCCATCACTCAATGACAACCTTCTGAATTGACCTTATTTAACTCAAACAGAAAAAGGATTTTTCCCAACCTGTCTTTCTTTATTATCTCTATCTTTGATAATACTTTGATTCAGTGGACTTCTAAAAACATTGTTTTCTGTGAAGAAGCCAACCTTTAAGCTGCTTTTAAAAAAAAAAAAAATTCTTTCAATTTTTTTAGACTTCCTCAGGAGGAGGGGTAGAAGACACCTCTTGCTTTCTTGCTGAAGAGAAGCTATCTAAGGAGCTGCAAGACCTCACTGCACCCGTTCAGTGAAATTCTCTGGGAAAACTCCCCGGCATTGGTCAAATGCTTTGTGCTGAAGCCAATCAGATTCTTTCACGCCCAGCAGCCATCCTTCATCCTGGCAAGAGACAGAAGAAAAAGAGAAAATGTTGGTACAACAAACACCAGGCACTATTTGTCTCTAAGTTCACTGAAACTGAATTAAATCAAGTGATAAAGTTGATGAAATTATTATCATTAATCGCAGCACTTGTGAATAACCCTTGTGTTCCTTCTCATCCTTCTGGGGTGCTTGCAAGCAGAAGTGCAGTACAGTCATATTCTTTTCCCATAGTTGTTCCTGCAACTGGGATTTTAAGGCAGGCTATTCCCAACCTAGAGGCAATACTGAGCCTTCACGATGAAAATCACCATATCTTATGGCAATGAACTCTACAAGTTAATTGTGCCTTGTATGGAACATTGGTTTCTTTGGTCTGCTCCAAAGCCCTTTCCAGTAGTTTGATACTTGGTCTTAGTGTGTTGAAAACTGTAAGGGAAATTTCCTTTCCTTTTCCTTGCAATGTATGATTTTATATGTATTTACCTTCCTCAAGTTGACTTTTCCCCAAGTTAAATAGTCCTACCTACACAGGCTCTGACCTGCCAGTCATTGTGGATATGCCCTTATATAGGAGTCCCATCTCAGAGCCAACCAGCAGCTTAGGCGGGTTGAGAATGGATCCAGCAGCAAACTGGAAAAACAGTGGAGACCTTTTCTATGCATCAGTTCATCAATGCATGACAGAGAAGACTGAAATAGGCTGGTGACCAACCTGGCCCGCTGCAGGGCTGCTTCCTTCCATCAAGCCATAGAGTTCTGTGCCTCCAAGAACATTTCTTCTTTGGTTGCTAGAGAGAAAACAACCTTCCCCAGCAGTCAATTTCCCCCACTTTTTGGCTCTAGTAAAAGTATTGACCTCATCAAGGTATTCCGTAAGGTTGATATTCCTATCATGAAAACCCACTGCCTCTCTCCATAGTGTTCCTAGCTTTGCCTCCATAGTTTCCAGAGAATACTGCAACTTCTGACTGCTGGAAGGAAGGGGGTAGCAATGCTGTCCAGCTAGCATTTGAGTAAAGGAGAGTTCAAAGCACAGAAGAGCTACCTCTAATAAAAGAATCTGGTCAACTAATGGTCAAAATTAAATTGGTGCTAGATATGGGTCAATAGAATTTATGTGTGAGGGGGGTGGACTTAGATTTCTTGTGGCAACGCAATGATTCCAAATTTATGACACATTTAATCCTGCTTTCCAGCTCAGTCTGCTTTTCTCCTACAGAATTCAAGCAAGCAGAAGTGACCCTATGTGCACAGCTACCCAGAGAACTGGAGGAAAGGTTCCAAATATGAACAAAGCCTTTTACAGATGAGGCATCCTTTGTAATGTTTGATGCAATGCTAATGTTTGCAATGAGACTATAGGAAAAAGCACGCAAACAAAATGTACAATTGACTAAGAAACGTTTCTATTTTCAGCTCACGCTCTTTACAAAAATGAATGAATGCAATAAAGACCTATAAGAACACAGTGCCATCTACTGGCATTCAAAAACAGCATGAACAAGACAGAGGGGGAAAAATATTGCACTGATAGCCACCATCACAATTTGTAGACGTTTGTAGGCCAGAGAGGTATGAAAAGCAAATATGAAATTAGAAAAGAGCAGAGAGTACAATGGTGGGTACATTAATTCACTTTTTAAAAGGTAAATTAAATTACCTTGAGATAATTAAGAGGTCCTTTTTTAATACTTAGAAAATATGTTGCTGGGCAATGAGACTCTCCACTCTACTATTCTGATTGCCTTTTTCTGATCTAATCAGGTAAACCTAATATTACAGACTAATAGTTAAATAGAGTATAATTTAAAAAATAACACTAAAAAGGATACTCTCCTTAGTTAGATATTGAATTGGATCTGGAAATGCAATAATCAATATTCATCTTCTTATACCATAAGGTAAAGGTAAAGGTTCCCCTCACACATATGTGCTAGTCGTTCACAACTCCATTTCTCCGTTTCAAAGCCAAAGAACCAGCACTGTCCGAAAATGTCTCCGTGGTCATGTGGTCAGCATGACTAAATGCCAAAGGCACATGGAATGCTGTTACCTTCCCACCAAAGGTGGACCCTATTTTTCTATTTGCATATGTTACGTGCTTTCAAACTGCTAGGTTGGGACAAGTAGTAGGCGCTCACCCCGTTATGCAGCACTAGGGATTCGAACTGCTAAACTGCCGACCTTTCGATTGACAAGCTCGGCATCTTAGCCACTGAGCCACCATGTCCCTTCTTATACCATAGATCTCTATTAAACCACACCCTTCTCATGCAATATTTGCTTCCACATAGGAAAATATCATTTTAAAGAAATAGACTATTATTTGAAGAAATAGAGATTTACTCATTATCTTATCTATCAAGAGGTTAAACTGAAAGGTTTGACTTGCTGAAGGTCACATAGCATGCTTCAATTCAGAATGCAGATTTGATCTGAAATCTTTTTGAAACTGGACAAATGTGGGTCTTACCAAACCATGTTAGTTATGAATCACATCTATTGCATTATTACCCTACCTGCTCGTCTGGATTTTCAAATGGAATCACCAAGACCACATCTCCAGCCTTCAGCTGCAATTCATCATTGTCAGTAGCTGCGTAATCATGCATGGCTTGTACCTGCACAAGAATATTTGTTCCACAGTTAAGGATTAAGGGGGAGATCTTGTTTCATATCCATACATATCTAGTGCAGCTGAACCCTTACATACTAACTACGCTGCAGTCTATCTGCTGTTCCATTTCTCCTTAATCTGTTCAGTATTCAGGAATACAGACTATTTTTGGATAGAATCTTTTACTGAATTTTTAAAATGTAATACTTATTTTATCTTATCATGTATATGTATAATTTATATATATGTGTGTGTGTGTATGTATGTGTGTGTGTGTGTGAGAGTGTGTGTGTGTGTGTGTGTGTGTGTGTATCTTTGGTTATTCGGGTTTTCTCCCGCGTAAAATTGGAAGTATCTAGGTGACGTTTCGATGAAGTCTCATTCATCATCTTCAGGCTTGTGTCTTCGGCTCTGTGCTTCTCAGAGTAAGATATATATATCTTTCTTCTTTCAACAGACAATAATTTACCTGCAACTGGTAAGTTTCCTGTATCCAAACTAAACTCATTTAAAATTGTGCACTGAGTTATCATAAAGGGCTGAGTCTATTTTCCATTTTACAGCTTTATTTATTCAAAACAATAGAATGAAATGGTGCATCTTCACCATAGAAACTTACCTTAAAGAGAAATCCTGGTGGCATGTCAGACCTCTCAGAGACGGCTGTATTCTCATCGGTCCCATTAACTGTGGCAGGGACATTCTCCACAACTACAGTTGGCAGAGGACTCTGAAGAAAATAAAAACAGGGTTAAAGGCACCAAAGTTAGGCCCAATTGAGAAAAGAATATAGAGCAAACCCCTCCCTGTAGCCATTTTTGAACATGAATCCTTTATTCAAATATTCATTAGGTGTCAGTATTTTTAGGTATGAGGGGTGGCTGAGGTAAATAGAATGACTTATGAAAAAATGGAAAGGAAACCACAGAAGGCAATAAATTGTAGAGGGAAATTGGTGTCCGTAAAGATTAATGGAGTAAATAACAGATTCTGTTATTACAAGACATTGAGATTTGTAGTAATAGGCAGAAATTCTGGTCAATTTTCTCCTTTTTTAAAAAAACAACCCTAAAATCGGTTTTGGTGTTTATCACAAATATCTAATTTCTGGGTCTTCAGAATTATTCTCATTCCCAGCAATAACAGCTGTTAGTGATTTTGTAAGGGTATCCAGTTGTAACTAGACATGCTGAATAAATGAAAGTTAGCCTCAGCAATGAAAAAGGGGTGTTTTTTAATATATATATATTTATGTGTGCCCAACATCTATCTATCTATCTATCTATCTATCTATCTATCTATCTATCTATCTATCTATTTGTTTTCTTAAGTTTTCGCGGGTACTTACATGTATGGCCTTCAGCTTTGTTCGGGTATTTTCCCACGTCATTATAGTTGTGCTTTTATCTAGGCCTAGATACTTCCAATCTTACGCGGGAGAAAACCCGAATAACCAAAGATCCACATACAAATACCCGCGAGAACCTCAGAAAACAAATATATATATATATATATCCATCCATCCATCCAGATGTTGGGCACACATAAAAATTCCAAGATGATTAACTGGTACTGAAGCAAATATATTCTTCCTAATTCAAATGAATTGCAAATGCTGCAGGAATATGTTTAACTGTTTGCATCAAAGAGGCAACCATCTATGGATGAATAATGGGCTTTGTTCTATGGTCCAAATCAACAGAGTCTCCAATCAGGGATTCAATCCACAGCTCAGAAAAGCTAAATATTTTATCTTCAATAGGCTCACATCTGCTCATATTAAATGTGAACAACGGTTAGGGGAGAATGAGACCCCACCTCCCTCTCCCTTCCCTACTGTCTTACTGAGGCAGATCCTGAATCAGTTTCGGGTTTAGCAGCTGCTTCAGCTCCAGCTGTTCCTCCTTTGCCAGCTCCCTCAGCCTCAGCAGGAGTGGCTTCTGTAGACTGCAACACAAAAGCAGTTAAACTCCTGGATCTCAAAGTGTTTTACCAATCCCATGCCTTTGCAGAGAATTGTATGACTGTTTTTAGGGCTGGTCTGAACTATTAGTTTCTGAAGGTCAAAGCTGAACTGGGTTGATCTCTTAGATGAATATGGATGTGGTTACATCCATGCTGCAAGTTGTTTAAGATCAATAGACTCCCAATTTGTGTACTGTATTGGCAAGTATTACCATTGCATTACCTTCATGAGAAGCAAATAGTTTTAGGCTAGAATATTAGCTTTTTATTAAATTCTTAGAGTTGGCTTGTCTGGGTCAAGTTCATATGTCCTCCAATATTTCTATACGTGAGATTTAAATGAATCTTTTCAGTACCTGCTGTACTGTTTCTCTTTTTGCAAAAAAAACAGAAGCATGATTTGACTATTTGTATGAAAGCTAACCAATTAAGATTGTGTCAACCTTACTTACCCTAATCCTAACTCTAACCCTAAATCAAGAGCATGTCCAGTATTTTCTGATTTCCATAAAACTGCAAAAATGTCAGAGGTTTTTTTTCCCCATCATCATTATATCTGCTGAACAAAACTCCACATTGGTGACAGGAAGGGCATCCGGCCAGTAAACATTCGGCTCCATTCAGTTGCCCAGACTCCATCCCACAAGGGATGGAGTCATTAAAAGAAGAGTAAGTATCATTATTGTTTCTATTCATGTGAAACCTACCATATCTGTTCTACTTCTCTTAAATAAAATATTTGAATGTGGCTGAAAAGAGACTGGAGAACTAAAAAGGAATTATTATTATTAATTTTATTATTATTAAATAATTTTTACTGAACTTTCCCACACTTTAAAAACTCATATACAATCTTCACAGCATTGTGACATCAACTTTTCCATTTAGGTCAATATACATATTTACATTAATTTTTGTTTCTACTGTCTAACTAATTATACCACTTCTCCCAGACCGTATAGTATTCCATATCTTCTCAATCTTGCAGTTCCAATGTGAGTTTGACCATTTCTGCACAATCCATTACTTTCTTTATTATCATACTATCGGGGGGGGGGGGGGTACTATCTAGTTTCCAACACTGTGCGTAAGTTATTCTTGCCGCTGTCAATATATGTATTATAATATATTTAATTTCTTTCTTAAATACTTCTCTAATTATTCCTAAGAGAAACATTTCAGGTTTGAGTTCAATTTGGAGACCAATAATTTCCTGCAACCAATTCCTTATTTTATTCCAATATTTTCCTGCTTCGGGGAAGGACCAGCACATGTGAAAGAAGGTACCTTGTTTGTACATACATTTCCAGCATTCTGGACTCATGTTTGAATATATTTGAGCCAATCTTGCTGGTGCTAGATGCTAATGGTAAAACACTTTATAAAGATTTTCCTTATAGGCAGCAGCCAGTGTTGGGAATTATGATTAATTTTAATTTGGCAATAAGTTTTCTTTCAACAGAACCTGCTCCTTTTTAAAAACAGCTGTTAAGCAAATCATCATGATCATTATGAGAAGCCAGCTTCCGCAATGACTGGGTTTTGTTTTGTTTTTGCTGGAAATCACATGAACACAGGCTGTTGTAACTGGTTATAAATGTGTGCCAGCTGCCAAGCACCCAAATTGTGATCACATGACTGTGTGGGCTGTGTGATGATTGTGAGCATGAGTACAAGTTATCAGTCACTTTATCCAAAATTGCTGTAATTTTCGAACCAACATCATGAGAAGCTCATTAAAACAGCCTGCACAAATTTGTTCCACCTCTTTTTTAAAGCCATTAATTAAAAAGTAGTATCTTTGTTGCCAAAAGTAATGTTGTTTTGTTGGTGGTGGGTAATGTTCCTGACTCTTGAGTCACAACTTTAGTGTTATGAGAAAAAAAATTCTACTCTGCACTATGAATAGCCTCCTTCATTTAATAATGTCTTTTTCTCAAACAACCTTTTAACCTCCAAACAAAACATAAATTATTAATATATTGAGAAGCTTGAATATTTCTAAAAAGAAATATAATTTCTGAAATCAGGACAATGGGATATTCTATAATATACATTAGTATAGATTACCTTACTATACTAAATTAAGTACTATGATATATATTACTACAAGATAATACGCCAGCTTTTGTTATAGCCAGGGGGAGGGATTCTAAAATCCCAAATTAAAGAAGTTATTATCCCCCAACTATAGATTTAGGATTTTCTTTTCTTAGTATGTAGTAAATGAAATGAATGCCCATGCAAACTTAAAATCAAAAGTCTCCCTCAAGCCTGAGTTGAGTTCTGGTGAACTATTTTCATGAACAAATTAGCATTTTCTTAAACTGTCCTGAATGGTTCGAAGAAGAGTGGTACATAAATCTTGGTACAATTTATATTTGTAATCAGTATGAATTTTTATGGATACAGTTGGCATTTTTCAAATGTTCGGGAACAACTTTAAAAATTCAAAAGGCAGGTTATAAAAGGACATCCATCCCAAAGATGGTTATAAACTATTACAAGATGTTCCAAATAAAATCACTGTAGAACTTTAATTTCATTAAACCCTGCCCTGTCAATTTAATAGGAATTAAATTCTAATTTCATTGGAAGTGAAGTGTGCTAACTAAATAAGGCCAAAGAAAACCAGGAACCAGGTAATTCCTGGTATGGAGCACAGCAATCAAGAAGGACATTTCTGAACATTTGTTAATTTAACCTTTTTTTATTTAACTGGCTGATAACCTGGGTGGGCTGATTGGCCAGCCTACTGCAAATGCACTATTGCTAAAATTATCAGCAGAAAATGAATCCATAAATTCCACCGGCTGAAGGGATTTTTTTTCCAGGCAGATATATAAAATTTAAGGAAAAGAGAGAAACAGAAATTGGGCAACAGGGAGAGAAAGTAATGGGTACGAGAAGATACAATAATGAATAATTATAATTAGATGTATTGGGCTGATAAGAATCAATTGCTTTATATTTTAGATAATTAATAGGGGAAAGGTAATGCAATGTTATGTATGCAACCAATCCTGTAGCAAAAGCGTGAAATTTTTTCACCGAGGGTGGGGGAGAGAGAATGGGAAACGCATGCAATGTTAATAATATAGCAGTGCTATATTTAATCGTTTTATTAAACATATTTGTATGTCACCACAACTAAAAATGACTCAGTGGCTCACGTAAAAAAATATAATGCAAAATAAACCCCATATAAAAATTAAAAAAAAAAACAACCCTACAAAAATAGAAAGAGAATAACAGATGGCAACAACAACTCAAATCAGGGCAGGCTCGCTCTCTCTCTCAAAAAAAGCTAGTTCTTTAAAAACCTGCAGAAAACCAACAGAGAGGGAGATAATCAGGGGTGGGTTTCTACCGGTTCTGTCCACCTCTGTAGAACCGGTAGCTCTGAAGAGCAGCAGACATAGAACCGGTTCTATGTCTGCTGATGTTTTTGCCCACCTGCCCACCCGGGCTCTTACCTGATCTTTATTTCCTGATTTTTCAACTTCAGCTGCCGAATGAGGCACAGCTGCAGTTAAAAAAGCAGGAAAAGAGGGCTGTTTCAAAGGCTGCATCTCTGCACACAGCATGCTGATGACGATTTACAGGCGCACGCGTGCAGGGAAACTCGTAAATCCCGAACCGGTAGTTAACCCTGTCATATCTCACCCCTGGAGATAATCCAATCTCCCCAGGGAGGCTATTTCACAATATTGGCTTAGCGGGGGGGGGGGGGAGAGAGAGACCTTCTTCCCCAATCAACTCCAAACTTCCTTAAATAAGTATTTCTCTGGGGTCCTTGCTGCTCTGTGTGCTTGGTTGAAAAACTACAAATATTCTCTTCTCTAAATATTTCTGTCATTTTATGTGGACTCTCATTATATTGCTGATTTTATTTTAAAAGGATGCTTGGCTTTTATCTCTAGTTGTCCTTTCCCCTTAAAATCAAAATCTTGCTGGAATATAAAGAATTAAATCTGAATAAAGAAACACTGTAGTCTGTACATCCACCGTAAAGAAAATCAGATTTCCAGTGATTTCCTTGATGTTACTGAAAACTTTTATTTTATCCTAAATAGATCTGACGGACAGATTCTGAAATAACTTCCCTCCAATGTCTGGGATTGATATCTCCATTTCTAACTCAGTGCCTACTCATCATAAATATCATTTTTTTCTAGGAGAAGAAAGCATGGAAAACCCATTGGTAAAATACAGTTTAGAGTGACAATTTTATATTCCCATTGAAGATGGTTCAGAATTGTGTGAAATTTAAAGTGGACCTAGGGTTTCATTGATACTGATATTTAATGGAGGAAAACTATTAGTAACTAATAAGTCACAGTCCAAATAGCATAATAAAAACACAACTTGAAATTAAGTGTGCTATACACAGCAATCATGTTCAATAATAATTGCAATCCCACTGTTAAAGCTATTACTATATATCTACATAATCTGATGATCCCTTTATCATTACATCAGAAAACAATAGCTAGAACTAAACATTATAAATGAGAGGAAATCAGAACAATGCTTTTAAAAATATAAGACCATACAGAAGTAAATTATTAATAGCTGATAAGCACTGATTCTAAAA